GGGACGTCGTGGGCGAAGCCAGTAGCCGCAAGCACTACTTCTGAACACACTAAGTCGAGTGGCCCAGCAGAAACAAGTCCCACTGTGTCCCCCTCCACTGCCAAGTCCGGGGATGCGGCTCGGCCTGCCCAGGCTGACGGTGGGGAGGAACAAGATCTGGAAGGAGAGGAAGAGAATGGGAATGAGAACGAGGTTTCGATGGGTGCCAATGAAGAGGAGGGTATGTTACCCAAGTTGCCGTACCTCACCCAAGCTCTCCCAGATGTTGGGGACACTGCGCAGCAGACTGCCCCTAAACCCGGGACGAAACCTCCACGTGAACAGGTGGTGAAATCTAACTCACCAGCCAAAACAAAGGTCTGCAAGGCGGCACCTACGACAACAGACCTTCCTGATGAAGCACAGACCCTCCCCAAGCTGTTGAAGGGCACCCCTGAGTCTACACCTCTTCCAGAAGAGGGGGCTAGCAAGTGGATGTCCGATACAGAGGATACGGAAATCGCCCAGTCGGCCGATGGTCTTGACCTCAAACTGGATGAATCTGGCGATCACATCTCTGAGTACTCGTCAGAAGATGAGAGCGCCATCAAACGACCTCTGTCAAGCCCAAGTGAGTCAAGCCCAAGTGAGTCGGAAGACTCCAATACAACACGGCGACCCGACAAAAAGATCAAGAAAGAGGCAGGCAAGACGGTAAAGGGGGACAGGCAAAGTGTCCCCCCTTTCTGGTAACCGCGAAGTGACCTATAAGCCAAAAGTTGCCCCCTCCTCGCGGAAAAAGGGGGAGGAAAGGTGCCAAGTAACTGACATAATGTTCGACCACATTCTGAAATTGATTTGGTTTTTGCTTCTAGTCGCTCTGTCCTTGCAAATAGGAACTAACAATGTGCAAACACAAGCTACTCAACTCGACCTGACGATGCAAATGGATCCCACACTGAGCCATAATACAACATTTGACCCTGCGTCAGACATGTCCGAAACTCTCCTGAATTCGAACTCCAAAAACTTACTGACAATAGCACACCTCAACGCTCGGAGCTTACTCCCTAAGATAGATGAACTCAGATCCTTATCATCTACCATGCAATTTGGCATTTTATGCATAACAGAGACTTGGTTAAGCGATGAAATAGCTGACAGCGACATTGCACTGGAAGGATACCAGGCGCACCGCAAAGACCGAAACAGACGCGGAGGTGGCGTTATGATTTATGTCAGTGATTACCTGTACAATACAAGGCGTTGTGATCTGGAAACTGATGAGTTAGAATCTATATGGTGTGAAATTACAAAGGCAAACACCAGTCTTCTAATCAACTGTACATACCGACCGCCTTCGGCGGATGACACTTTCTTCGACTCTTTTGAAGGTCAAGTGCGACTAGCCACGAACCAAACACAGTCTATTAAAGTCATTCTCGGAGACTTCAACGCTAAGAACAGCAACTGGTTAACCAGCAACACGACTGACAACCCGGGGCGTCAACTTGAAAACCTCTTCTTGAATCATGGACTGGAACAGGTGCTTCATGAACCGACTCGGGGAGGGAACCTACTGGATCTGATAGCGACTTCTCATCCAGCAAAGTGTTACCAGACGGGTACACTAGCGCCTCTTGGCGACTCCGACCATCTAATAACGGCCACAGCACTTACCATACAGGCAAGCCAGCACAGCGGTAAACGTCTAGTTTGGTTATACGACAAAGCTGACATCGAGGCCCTTCATCAAGACATCGCATCAGCCCCCTGGGATATAAATCTCATCTTCGACTCTATGGATGACATATGGGACTCTTGGTACAGCATGTTTATTGCCATATGCGAACGACACATTCCTCACAAGCTTATCTCGACTACCCGGACAGCTAAGCCGTGGATATACTCCAATAAACAAATCCGAGCCGCTATCCGTAGAAAACACCGCCTGCACTCCAGGGCAAAACGGCTGAACACCGAGGACGCCTGGGCCACTTACAGAAGACAAAGAAATCTTGTGACCAATCTCACAAGAAGGGCGGAGACAGTATACATTGAGGATCTCGTGAACGACGCGGAGACCGGCAACACCAGACGGTTCTTCACTTATGCCAAATCTGCACTAGGAAATACCTCAACAGGCATCCCGGCCCTTCAAGTCGACTCGGTAATACTAGAAACCCCGGAAGCGAAGGCCAATGCTCTGAACGATTTCTTTATCAAACAAACAGACCTTCCTGGCAGAAGCGATCCAATCCCGACGTTCCAACCTACCGCTGTTCCTGAATCTGTTCTAGACTCGCTTCAGTTGTCAGAGGAAGAGGTACGCCAGCAACTGCGCACCCTGCAAGTCGGAAAGTCAGGTGGTCATGACAAGATCACTCCGAGGCTATCACGCCTAGTTTCCGACCAGATATCAGTTCCTCTAACTCGTCTGTACAACAAATCTCTCCTTCTTGGCCAAGTTCCTACAGAATGGAAAAAGGCTAACGTAACACCCATTCACAAAGCTGGTAACCGCCACCTCACAAACAACTACAGGCCCATATCCTTGCTTAGCACAGTCTCAAAAGTTCTAGAGACACTTGTTAACAAACGTTTAACGGCTCATGTCAACCGGATATTAACTGACAACCAAAGCGGGTTTCGACCACTTGACAATACAACCCTCCAGCTGACTCGACTGGTAGAGGAGTGGACTGATGCAATGGATAAAGGAGAAATATTGAAAAACTAAATCCCTTTAACCCTACCTAGACCGGGCTTTTTTTGACATGGGGGGACCGGGGGGGGGCTCTTTTGACCCCCCCCTAAGAACTCGCGAACGGTATGTCGTATGACCACCAAATTTTTAGAGAATGGTGTACTAGTGAAAATTTATCATATCTACAATTTTTATGTCGTTATAACGTAATATGACATTAATGTGATTTTATTGGCCAAAACCGTCTAAATAGGTTTTTCCCTGAAAACTAAACGGTATTCAACATAACTGTACCAAAAGTGTTTATGACAGAATATTATGGTGTACTAAGTCTTATGTTGCCCATAGCAACACCGGTGACGTCATAAAATGACGTCATGCCTATTTAAGATATCCGCCATCTTGGATCATCAATCTTGAATTTTCAAAAATAGTTTTTTTTCATGATAAAGCCTAAAATACAGTGTAAACATACTAAAGACCTTCATTTAAACCTTTTTTGGAAAAAGAAATGGAAGTATTGATGAAATTTTAATGAAAACAACCTGTATATACCTGTTCTAATGATATGGTCCGCCATCTTGGATTTTGGCCAATGACGTCATCAAATTAGCATAAATTATGCATATTTAATGATAAAATTTACATGAAATTATATGGGATGTTATTAATATTAGAAACCATGAGTAACTTGACATAAAACCCATAAAATTCTATTGTTGAAACAAAAAGTACTAAATTTAGCAAAAAATGCCTGTCAGAAACCCGTTGCCATGGCAACACAAAAAATTATTATCTTATTCCAATGATAGAGAATTGTTGCCAACAATATTCTAGGAAAAGTCACCAAGTTTGGCCGTTCTACGGCTAGCCGTTCAGACGCTAGGTGACATCAAAAGTTGCCGCGGGCACTTAATT